AAACGAACGGCAAGAAAAATGATCTTTCATAGAGTTACGTTTTTAGATTTTTAGCACTACAGCCGAAACATAAGAGGAAGGAGTTGAAATTAAAAACCGAAAATGGACAGAGAAAGTTGGGAGAGAGAAAAATAACATCTTTTTCTATTCACCTATTTAAATTTGCACATTCAAATCGGACTGACGAGCTTATACGGGCCGAGAATAAAACCCAATGGAAGTTCAAACAATGGTTCAGAGGGATCCGTCATAAACCAAACCCAAGAAAACAAACGGAGAAAGTCGTTCAAGTTTATCAGGAAAAGTCGGGCTTCTCCGGGTCCCATCTTGACCGCTTTTGTTACGAGCGAAACCAGCAAAATTTCAGACGAAAAATACTTTTTCCTTTAGCTAAAAAGGCACTCTATGCAAATAAAGGCTTGGTTGGAAAACGCACACGCGACTGGGCAAACAAACCGTTCGGTATAGATCATAGACTGTATAAAAACATGGACGTAGTGTCCGTGACGTCACCCGTAGAGTTCCGAAGAGCATTTTTGAAGCCTAAAGTAGGCGGAGCCGGCCGTCGCCATCTTGGCAGGCGTGCGTCACTCCCGGCTAATCGAAAATGGGCAAAGAGGCGGGAGCAGGTTGCTGAAACCACACCCACCTAGCTCGACGGAGATGACAGCAGCGGCAATCCACCTGTCACTCAAGTGGCCACTGGCCAGTTGATGAATTACAGTTTAAGTCACTTCCGTGTTGGCTTCACGAGAGAGAGCGGGAGGTTGCCGCTTGGTATAGATACAGAGTGCATTTAGGCCACGCCCACACAATCCAACGCTCTCCACTGCGGGAAGCTGCCTCCGTGTCATTTCTGACTTATAACAAAAAACAGAGCAATGCCTAAAAGCTACTGTGTGACGAGGTGTACAGCAAACAAGCTAAAAAAAAACAGAACTACGTTTTTATAAGCGTAAAAACACGAGCGTTTAGGACACAAAAGTAGAGCGCAACGTGTCTATTACTCTGAGAACTAGGGATGCACCGAATGTTCGGCAACTGAAATTATTCGGCCGAAAATAGCAAAAAAAGCGAAAAGACCGAATAAATTGTACCGAACAATGATCTGACGCGATCAAATAGCAACCAGTTTATAATTTATAATGCAGCACACACGTCAGCAGTGTGGAAGCATTTAAACTGTCGGAGAAAGACGCAAAAATCATTAAAGCACCGACAGCGAGAGACTGTTTAGTACTGCATCGCATGTCTTCGATGAGAAGAGGAAGGGGTGATCGTTGCTGGTTACTGTATGATGATTGAAATCGTGAAATGGCCTTAAACAATTAGTAAATAAACTACAAAACGTTATGTTTTCTAATGCCATTAGAAAGCGCATTGCATGTATTTTGACAGCGCTATCTGCTTGTTAACCAAGATTCAAAGTCCAAAGCGCGAGGAAAATCTGCGCTGATACAGTCATCAGTTGCTCAGTCACATTTTTATGAATTTTTACAAGGCACGTGACAATGCGATACGTACGACGTATTCGTAATGAGACTCATTTATAAATCTGCTGTCAACAAAAATAAGCATTGAGGTCTTCCGCCAAAAATACGCCAAAATAAAAGTTGAGAAAAAGCAAGAACTCTTATCAACATTCATAAATGTTAGTA